GTGTTTGAAAGTTAGGGTCTTTTTCTGCTTCAAAAATAAAAACATTAGGTACACAAAGTGTCCCAATGCAACCCATCCAGCCACAAAAATAACTCTTGCACGTTATGCTTGCCTATGTTAATTTGTGGCTACATTTTCATGTCCTATATATGGGTGTTGCAGTGTATTACAGTTAATGAAAAAACTGATGAATTTCTTCACTTATCCTATGAACCTAAAATCAACCTTGTAAAATGTTAGGAAAATGTTTCCTGTTCCAGGAAACTGCAAATAATTTCACATAACTTTACAGACAAATGAATGCAAACAATTCAAGTTTTGCTGCTAGCCACTTGCCATAAACTTTTACCACAACAAATTTATTTAACTTGATATTTCCTGATCTTGTTCACTTTTTAGTTTGCTTTCGCTTTTCAGGGAATCAAGCCTTGACAAGATGGTGGTTGACAGTGTGATCATTCACTCCTTGTTCATTTTATTTTTACTGCTTCAATAATGCTTCTTCAACCATGTTTCTTTTCTGATATGAAAAAGATAACAGACAGAGGTTTCTCTATAGGTAGCCTTGAGGCATCACCAAGAATAACTGTTGATAAAATGCCTGGGTTTCATTCAGCGATTACTGTCTGATTGCAGCGATGCCATGTTGGTTTCATTCCCTTCTCAAGAAAAGGTTTTTTCACTTGATAAGTGAATCACTCTTTGAATTCGACATCCACTTTTCAAGTAACTCAGATTGTACTTAATGGTGATGTCTCCATGAATCCTGGACCTCCCAAATGTCCAGTCTGCAGTAAGAGCATTGCTAGAAATCATCGCGCAGTGGAATGCAATGTGTGTCAATGAAGACTACACTTCAAATATGGCAAAGTAAAACCACTTGAGTTTGACCGAATTCAGGCACATCAGTTAAGACATGGACATGTCCTTGCAGCCTTGATCAAGTAAAACAGCTACCATTTGTGAATACAAGCAAGTTTGACACAAGCAGAGGGTTTTTCATACAAGCGACACCGAGAACAATTCACTGTTTGATACCTGGAGTTCGTTTGATTTTTTAGCAAAAAATATCGGGTGTATACCAAGATTGGGCACATAAACACTAACAGTATCACTGGATTTAAATTTCATGGTATTAGAAGTTGACTACTGTCTGAAAGATTCGACATACCTCTCATAACAGAGATGAAGATAGATGCTGGTTTTGGCAATGGCCAATTTAATGTTGATGGTTTTCATATGCATTACGTCAATAGAGATATTCATGGGGGTGGACTACTGATTTTTTTTTTTTTTGACAATATGGACCTGTCTAGTTTTTGCATCAAATCCACGATGTTGAAAGTCAAAATAAATAGATCATGGTTTGCTCTTGTGGCATACACAAACCTCGCTTCTAACATCCCAAAAAGTCAATGGAGTTTAATCTTTGATGCTGTAACAAGAACTTCAAATGATGTTAATTATTTTCCTTAGTGACTTCAACGGTGATATGAAGAAACCGAACAAGCCTCCAATGGACAGTCAAGACTTATGTGATTTATTGGACATTTACAGGCATAGTTTGATGCTACTCTGGTTTACAGATTCAATGAATGTAACTGAAAAAGTTACAATTCATAGACCCAATGTTTTGACACTCCTGTCTAGTGTCTTCATTAGGGGTGATCTAAACACTGCAACAAGAGGTCCTTTAATATGATCACTAATTAGCTGCCTTTTTTCTGACGTGATGTAAATAGGTGTCAGGAAGTAAGCCACCATCATCGTGATTTACAGGAGTGTGGGCAGGGTTAATATGCCAAGCTTCCAAACAAAGGCGCCATTCAAAATTCTCTTGATAGGTTTCATAACACCCGGAATGAAAGGAATAACAGCAAAACCACTGCTGGTTCCCTTTCATCAGGAGTGCTACTAGTTGTAACTGGTTCTTGGCAGTTATGGAGAAAAGTTTTTGTATAGCTATTTGCCTTTCAGACATAAGAAACGTATTTCCTCTCCTCAGCCTTCGAATCAAGTGAAGATGGTAGACAGTCAGCCCTCCTGAGAAAAGTTTTGGCTACAGACTTTTTATGGCAAATAGGGTGGTGAGAATTGAAAGCCAGGTATTTGTCGGTGTGGGTAGGTTTACGATAGACACTTTTCTCTAAATTATCCTAAACCCCTCTGGACACATTTAAATCAAGAAAGGACAAATGTCTATCCTTTTCATGCTCAAGAGTGAATCGAAGAGACAGCTCTACTGAATTCAAATAAGAGGTGCTCTACTTCATTTCTGTATACTGCAGAAATAACATCATTGACATATCATTTCCAGAGAAAGGGTTTAACCAGTGAAGTGGCGAAGGCCCCTTGTTCCACATCGTCCATTACCATGTTGGCAATGACAGCAGAGACGGGGGAACCCATAGCTGTACCAAAAACCTGTTGATAGTGGGTGCCATTGTATGCAAATTGCATGGTTGGCTATGTGCTTCCATCAAGTTTGAGATTTCAGCCGTCTTTGTAGAATGCTAAAGGATACAAGCTCATGGCTTTTCTGAAGTTATAAATAGATGAATGTCACAGTTCCATACTGTGTTTGCATGTGTTATTCTCTTGTTCATTCAGTGAACACTCTGCTTTGATTAACAACTCCAAAACTTCCTGGGTCAAGGAGTTCTGCCATTCAAAAGAACAACAGACGTTTACCAAACAGAGAGAGAAACACGACAGAAAATTCTGTCATTTGCTCAGTAAAAGGTCTCCTGTAAATTCAGGTTCATCTCTGAAAGATAAATGGGTGATGAACCTTCCTTCCGAGGAGTTATCCATGCTGGAACAGAGTGGTTTAGAGAAGGGTCTGAAGTTTGCTATTGCCCTTCACAAAATACGAACTGCTGAAATTGTCGCTGCTGTCAAGGAGAGCATCTCTCAAATCAATGGTGACCCACTTGGTAAGAGCAGAAGTAGGCAGCGCACACAAATACTAATGTATTTTAATAATTTAGTTGATTTAAATATTTTTCTTTCTCAAAGGTATTAGCTCAACAGAGCTACTCTGATAATTCGAGTTGAAATAAAGTGTATGTATGCATGTATTTCTAAAGGGGTATCCAGCAGGTCAACCTTCCCTTTTTCTTCACAATGCAGTCAAGCCATTTCAAAAATGAATTGATGCCAAACACTATGGGACAAAACCAAGTAATATCATCAACAATGGAATCCATCCTTTGTCAATAAATCTAACTCACCATTCAAGGTTAAACAAAGGGTAAAACAAAAGACTACCTCATACTACTAATGAGCTTCTTCAGAGTGTGTTGTTTGGGTGTGTTTTGAAAAATTGTGCGCATCTGCACACTTTTTTCAACCCTTTATTGGTGCATTTTGAGCCATGTACCTCTCAGCTGAACTGTACGAAAGCTCAAGGACATGAGCCTTGCTTTAATGTTGTTTATTCTCACCTTGCGTTATTGTTCAGACAATAGATGTTACCAATATGTCTTAAATCTGAAAATAATTCCTGTACTTTTTGTGAAACAGCCATATATCTTTTAAATATGAGCAACTTCTTCTGTTTTTTTCCAGTGAGAATTAAGATCATATTCCAAATTCATAATTATCTTTAAAAAGTATAGACTTACCCCCATGAAAAAGAAATTGTTTGACATCATCAGGTTTTTATGTGCTTTTAGTGTTTTAAGTTTTTTGAGTTTCAATTCACATGCTTGTCACCATGTTGACTTGTTTTATGGTAGTTTACCATTGATATTATAATCACAGGTAACCTAGAAGGATATTGGACCTGATTAAATAAAATATTCTGCTCACAGTGGCCACTCTAGAATAGTTTTCTCACCCACTCCCTGGCTAAAGCTATTATTCATCCGCTGTGCATCTTATTTCAGGGTTCACCTCTTGAATTTGACTTGGGCTTGGTGCATATCTTTACTTTTCATCTAATATATTTCAGTGTTTCTCTCTAATTTTTTCATTTCATTTATTAATTTTTTCATATTCTTTTCATTGGTCTGATTCATGAACCTATCCTTTCCATATTTTCTGCTACAGTTCTCAATGTTTTTCAATGTTATTCACCTTCGTAGTTTGACTAAGAAGTTAGTCAAATGCAGTTCCACATTTTTTTTATCCTCTTTCTCAGAAAGTTGAAGACTTTTCCAAGTCTAACCAGATACATACTCATTTCAGAACTAGACTGATCTTAAAAGAAACTAATTAATGTTAATGGTACACCATGGACCACATAAACTGTTCACATGCTTTCTGTAGTCATATCTTAAACAATCTTACCCCCACCTCAATTTTCACCTCTTCTCTAGAGTGTGCTACATGATATTGATTAAATGAAAAGTAGCAAGTGATATAATATTAAATAATAACTGGCTGATGAAATGATAAAAAGCTCTCACTTGCCTTCATCCACGGTGGCCCTGAACAACACTCCTTGACACAGCCATGAAAGTAACTACATGGGGTTTTAGGGTAAAAAAACCTTCCAGTGGGGCTTGCACTCTATTATGTCACACAAACTATGTTTTGGCTTGTTGTGCAACATTTCTAATTTTTATTTAACATATTTCAGTTTTCCACTTTTATTTTTTTGCTTTTAAACAATTTGATTTTTTGATTTTTCCAATTTTTTTTTTTAATCTGTGATGCAATCCTGACTGGACCTGTGATCCAATCAGTGATCTTGTCCCTGATCCCTCCAGTGATCCAATCCAGATTACATATCTAAACATATGTTTCTGCTAAATGATGCATTCAATTATACTCACTACTAAATTTGGAAATGATGCTAAGGAGTTTCTTTGATGGTATTCCAATAATTGCATTATATTTCAATAGCACATCTAGAAAAGTTACCTGAAAGTACCTGGCTAGAGAGTGCAGATTACAGTTAGTGGTGGTTTTGGCCAACAACCAGCCCTTATTCATAGCTCTGAAGGGAATTTAATTGTAGTTTAATTTTTTCCAGAGGAGACATGCATACATACTTGTAAAGATCCCAGTCACCTTGCCTTGATAACTAGATGGACTTATTCCATCTCCATTGATTGCATCAGGTTGCGGATTCAGTGAATTATTTCTCTGTATAAATCATTGGAAAATGTAATTATTATAACAAATATATTGAAAATAATAATATAACAATGATATGCCTATAAATTACACCTGAAGGGATCACAGTTTCAAGTGCATCAAGAAGTCAAGTCAACTTTGCTTACACAGTTAATTCATCAGGAATTACAAGTTATAAAATAATTTAAGTATATATACAGGTACTAACTTAACATCTACCTACTACAATGTTTTACATCTACCTATTCCCAAAAAAATTGAAATAAATAAATAAATCACATGATTTAAGAGGATGCTGTGCTAAAGCTGTAAATGAAAAAAATATAAGTGATTTAAGGCAGGTAGGCAAGAAAAACTAATCCCCACTGAAAACTTCCATTGGGAAAAATCAAAGATGAAGGCTCTTGGAACTGGGTTATCAAAATAATAAAAAATTTACAATACCAAAAACTTGTCAAAAAAATCATGCAACCATCTTGGTTTTTGATCTGGGGAATTTGCAGCTCTTAAGTGCTTAATTAGCAACCTTTTAAACAATACACCTCTTGTCATCACTTCATTCAAACCATGAAATTATTAGACAACTTTATGATTTCTTTATTTTGTTTCCTTTGGAAAAGTAAATCTCACTGAAGGAAGCTGGAAATGACTGATATCACATACTTCTCAAAACACTAAAATCTATTAGAATAAAAAAATATATCATTTTAGATTTTAACAATAGGGGAAAAAGGAAATTTTTGTTAGATCTTTAGTGAGAAAAATTTGGAGGTAATATTATTGGCGATTATTGTTATTGGTGACTAATTTAAAAGACTCCAAAATTTCCACCTTTGTCAAACAATATCTATTGCACAACTCTGTAATAAGAATCATGGATGAATCAATTTATTATAAGAACTATTAGCATGAAATGAGGGTATCAGATGTGAATGATTTAGTTCAAGAAAAACCAACTGTCTTTACAACCCCATTACCACTAGAAAATAGAAACCTCATTAAAATCTGTCCATGAACCTATTCTTGAGTAAAATCCTCCATTGAAAAGATCTCCCATCTGACTGCACATGATGTAGACTGGTATATCTCTCTGAGAACTAATCATGTGTAAACCAAACATGCATGTATACAGTTTTAATTTCCATTTTTTTTTCATTCGGCAAAAAAGTGCTTATCTCAGATTTCAACTATCAGGTATATTATGCTTTATTTCTTAGCAGATTGTGAAAATTTGGACCAATTCTCAGCTATCAGCTATTGGCCCCATCGAGACCCTTCACATGGAACCAATATGTGCAAGCCTTAAATAAAAATGTATGGACTTGCTGAAAGTCCACGAATGGAAGGGTAGAGTGATGAAGTTAAGAAGCAAGCAAACAAATTGTCAAGTAATGTCTTTGTCTTCTCAAGTTCATTTCAAATCATGGCAAAATATGATATAAGTCATTGCTGCACAATGATAGAGCAGTCAATGACAAGGCCATGGCTTTAATATTAAGCATTCTTCTTGCTTGGCATACTACCATTGAGGTCAAGACAAGTATGGTAATCAAACAACAAAATTTATTCAGAGCAATGATGAACATGGTACACTGTAATTGCTTTATATAAGATCTTTAGTGCCCTTGTAGCTGGATACTGCTCTATTATCACTTTTGACTTACAGAGAAATATTATATGGAATTGGGGCTGAAATAGGCAAAGGTTTCCTTTGATATAGTACCATTGTACTACTTCATATTATTACATGTTTGAATAAAAGTAAAACCCATAAGTAATGTCTTAAAGCAAAATATTTCACAACAATTTTTTTTAAAGTCGACAGTGTATTTTGTACAGCCAAGGTACAGTGTACAGCATGTTAACACTACTAACCTTGAATTTCCAGCACTTTGGTGCAGTTGCATAAGTACCACAAACAAAAATATTTTCTTGTTGGTCAAAGAGTATCAACTTTATATAATTTTGGCAGTTGCCCTACAGGAAAGAAAATGTCAGCAGCATGAAAAATGTGCATGCAATAATTTTCATAGGAGTGTTTCATGAATGTGAGGTCAAGTAAACAAACTTAAATTAACAGGTATACTTATGACAAAATAAACAAAAGCACTGAACATATACTGGAGCTAACCCACATTATTGACTGAGTAAATACCATATTTCTCCAAATAATGCAAGTTGAAGGCTATGTGCATGATACAGTATTTTGTTGAAAAAGAAAGTATATTGTCCTACATGCTTCCCAATGGTTGAAGAAAACCAATTAAAAGTACACTGTCACATTCCGTTACCAGAAAACGAATTATCCTGGCTATTACATACATTACTTAAACAATAAAAAGGCATTACAAAATGCAAGTTTATCCCAAAAAACCAACATGGGGAATGAGATTCTGTGATCAATCCTCTTTAAATAAGCAAAAATACAGGCACTTTGCACTTGGTTCCATTACTAAGGTAACCATACATTTCTTTACAACAAAAAAGCCAGAGATTGTTTATGAACTAATCATTTGAATTTAGATGAAATCTAAAATGATACATATAAGTGTGAGAAGTACTATATTGAACCCTCTATATTGTATTTTGTTAAGATGAAGCATAACATATCAGTGGCTATAGCACCAAGGTAATTAATTTTTCCTTCAATATACTCAATAATTTTATCATGTCCTGTGCAACATTACTTGCATACTTTAGTTTAATTTCTACACTTAAACATTGTGAATGCAAGACTTAAGTTTGTTGAAAGCAATTCTATGCAACTTAATTTCTTTTGAAGACCCCTGAAATGCTTAGACCTATATGTAAGACCTAAGACCCAAAATGAAGACCTGGAAATGAACTGATAACCCAAAAATGAAGACCTGAAAAACAAAGACCAGAAAAATAAAACCCAAAAAAGGAAGACCCCTTTTAATTTTCCTTCATTTAACATGATCTTATTGTGTTTTGCCACCAGAAATATCCAGTTCTGGTTTAAATCTTTCTAATAGCAAAAGAACAAGCTATTTCAAAGTTAGCACGTTATTTTGAAAATTTTTGGTCTTCAGGTTTTCAAGGTCTTTTGATGTAGAACCCGTGTTTGATTGCATGCTTTATCACTATTGGAAAGATTAAAACTGGAGTTGGATATTTCCAAAGAGAAACCATAACAAGACTAAGTTAAATAAAGAAAATTAAGGGGTTTTTGTATCTGGGTCTGGGTTTGTATCTTAGGTCTTAAGTTTCAAGGGTCTTTGTTTTTTGATAAAACCAGTTTCTTTTGCTACTAAATGTCATAAAGTTTTAGTCTCCTTTATTTTGCCTTTTAAAGCACACAAATTACTCTAACTTGTTTTTTGCTATTTCCTCTATTTGTTTATAATTTATATGCATCTTTTTAGCTTAGTTCATAGTTTATTCATGATTTACTTTGGATTGAGTCAACAAAACATCAGTTCTTTAGTCACCGGAGTAATGTGTGATAAATTAACAAATGCTCCTCCACACATTGCTTACCTTGCCTTGTCCCAGGCTTAAGCATGCCTCCAATGCCTCCTGACTTGGGTGTAGAGCTACTCTCTGAATTATGGTAAAATCATAAAATGCAATCAACAACATCTGTTTTAAAGATTTGTATTGTTATCAATGACGAAAAATCCTTGAAATCAGCATATTTCTTTGAAAATGGACCTCAACCACTAGAAAAAGGTTTCAGGGTTTCAGTGACTCATACCCAAACCTCCTTTAAGCAAGCTGGCATAGTTTGAATTAACTTCTGTCCAATCACTTTCAAGTTTTTATTTGTAATGAGTCTAAAAGATATCTAAACCTCACATTGAAACCTAAGATAAAAGTGAGGCACTAAAGGAGGTGGTGGAATGAAGATTCCTTGGCAAAATATAAAATACAATAGGATCCCAAAACACAAATTATAATTCACACATGAGATATACAATACACATGTACGTCACTTTAAAAAGTATATCATATCAATTACATAAACAATGTTTGAGAAGTTTCTTAAAATAAGGAATGGAGCCACTTTTATTTGAGGTTACTGTGGACTTTTAGAGGCCAATTTTTTTTTACGTATCTTGCAGTTCAAACATTTATCTATTCTTTGATTTAAATATTTTGGGTAGCTGAAAGAGATTTGCCAATAAGTGACAGTTAGGCCTCAGCATTGGTGAATTTTTTTTCAGAGTCTGAAAGTAAATGATATCAACTCATTGAAGAGGGAGAAGCATGATAAAACAGCATAAGAAACCCAAAATTCTAGCAATATTTTGTTTGTTTGGGATCACCACACAATTGATTCTAGCTGGTGAATAGTTTTACTGTTGGTTTCCCACACATCTCTGTTCTAGCTTTGGTTAGCAGTTCATTTTTTTCCAATGTACCAATGCAAGAGCAGATAAAATTTTTATCAATTAGCTAATGAGAAATGATCTTCTATCAAATTTTGCCAAATCTTACCATTCACTCACACAAGTAGGATCTGGGTAAGAAACTAGGAGTTTCCCCACTTTGATTATTTCAAAACATTTACAAAACCACACAGCAAGCAAACAAATATAGACTGGCATAAACAAAATGCATCCTAGCCAAGGAAAAAGATTTTTCAATGTACTATGCTTATTAAATATCCCACCAGGTTTTTTGCATAAGATGTGATAGGAATAAATTTTAAACCTAAGGAAGAGGCACAACATTCATCTTTCATCATACACTTTTTACATACAGCTGGAGTTTGGGGGAAGGTCAAATTCCAATTTCTCAGGCAATGTTCACCTCTCTGAAGAATTTTTAATTAAGGAAAAACATAATGAGCTTAAAAGTAAATATTACGAGGTTTTCACTATACAATGTACCTCTCACTAACTACATACTTACATCATTTTGAACTGATGGTAACTGCAATGTAGTCAGCTCAAGTCTAAACAGTAAATTTCTGAGGGAAAAAGGCAGAGAATATTTGTAATTTAAGCAATCAAGGACTACCTCTGGATTTACATAGCCTCATCTAACAATATGGGAAGTTCTCCCAGCCCCCCAAGTGTTTGGATGGGGTAAAGTGAACATGGGAAAAAGTCCTGTATCCATTTATAAAATATTTACCAATATTACTTTGACAAATGAAGATACAAACACACCAATCAACCAATGAAAGTGTGCTTACTACAGTATCTTAAATATAATTGTCTCTTCTTTCATCAGACACCTCAATTCACACAGAAGTTTCTGACTTCTAGGAAGGCAAACACTTCTTTGTTACAAATTAGGCTTCCACTTTAATTTTTGAACCCTGAATGTGCAGAAACATACATGTGTAAGGCAGAGTCCAAGAGTCTCTTACAACTCACTGTGAGACCTGAAATATTCCAAACTGTTTCCAAAATGGCTGACTCAGGGTAAGCCATATAACGTGAGGTAGGCTTATCTGTTATTTGCATAAAATATTTGATAGATATAACAGATCCCTTAAACCCCACTTGTGTGGGGTTATTTCCTTCAAAGATATTTATAAATGTATGTGTAGCTTGTACTATGCAATCTTGGTTAAGGCTACATGTATCTAATTGAGCATAAAAAAATTGTTTGAGCAGACAATATGACTAGCACCATTCCTCAATTATTTGAAGCCCTTTATTATCCTCAACTGTATGACACTTTCATCTAAAGTAACTGCAATAATTGACGATAAAGCCTAAAGCAAACCTCCTTTTTCCCTTGCATAATAAACACTTGAGCATCAAGGCAAATTCCTGCCCTCGTACACACCCTTTTCATACATGTAGTTAGAGTTACAAAGAGCAAAACAAGAAGGGGTCAAGGAAAGCTATCACAATAAGTCCTGATTAAACTTGTTTTTACATACAGTGTATACTTCACACAAATAAGACTTGTTAAAATGTAAATAATTGTTATGATGAACAATCAAAACAGATTAATCTCTGTTCACTTACTTGGCACCAACAATCAATCGGTTATTTCTTTCATCAACGAGTATTTCATCTACATTTGTTCCATTTGAATGAAATTTGGCACACCCTGAAAAAAAAGCACAGTATAATTCAAACCTCCTCCATCCATGTTTATCATTTTCATAATGACACTGTCTAACAAAGAACAAAACAGTCACCAGTATATTATGCACCTAGGAAAGTTCTTCTAAAAAGCAAATTTCAATGGTTTCCAAGTGCCATAACAGTAACTACAGCAAGATATAATTTATAACAAACATTTTTAATAGAGCCTTTTAAAAAGTTGGTAATAATAATGTCGACAGTTTCAGAAGTTCTTAGTTGACTGAAATAAATGATGATTGATAGTATCTGATGGTGAGGCTACGGCAACTCTTGCAACTGTTAATTCTAGATATTAACACAATATTAAAGTGTATGTACATTTCATTGAATGAACTATTGCTGCAGCTTAGTCTCAGTAATTTAAGAGTTTATCTTTGTGTAACAATAACTGACAGCAAATAACAGTAACTCCTGACCCCTCTATTGGTATTTACCTTTTACTATATATATATATATTATGCATTTGCTCTCTGGGGCCAATATTGAAATATTTTCATGGGTGTCTGTTGAAGAGGGCTGGTACTACAGAGGTGTTCTTTAAATTTGACAGGTCAGAAATTCAATAGAACACAAAAAAACTGCCAAAGAAATTATATTGTTTTATTTTCTTATTTTGGGCTCATAATAAGTTGAATTCAGGTTCTGGGAGTATACATGTATGCAACTGCATGTGCATATTGTTTTCTTTGTTCAGTCATTAAATATAAATACAAAAAGAAGAAGAAAGCTTTCTAACATAGTATATGGTTTTTATGTAATCAGTTATAAGACCATGTATTCTGCAAACACCTTTTAAATCAAAAGCCATGGCAATGATATTAGTAAGTGAGAAATTCTTGCATTTAACAATTTCCTTGATGTAGTTAAAATACCCATTCCAATTGCAAAAGAGGTGAAAACAAATGTACAAATTCCTTTCTTTGTGTGAGGGCAACCAAAAGTTGAAGTAAAAGTCTGTGCAAACATTTACCCCTTGGGTGCACACCATTTCCCTTGAACAATAAGTACTATTTTGTCTAATTTTTATCACCAAATATAAATTTGTCATCTTCTTAACACTGCCCTGTGCTTGAAAGTGCACTTAGGAAAGACAAAAAGCATTATCTATGCCACATGCTTGATCTACCTGTCATGCAGGGAACACAAAAGGTTTCAGATGTTTGTGTGAATTGTGTTTGTTGTATTTTGGATTAAAGCCCCATGTATTTGACAGAATGAAGGTTTGGGTAACAGAACACAGTCAGGCAAATATTTATAAAACACATGTTACAACAGTGTTCAAAAAAATTCAGGAAAGCCTTTCATGGAAGAGAAAAATTGAATGGATGGTCTACACAGTCAAATAACATTATGTACAAAGGGTTTATCTTCCAGAAATCAAGAGAAGCTTTTTTTTGCACAGTAATTGAGCTTGTGGATGTTCATAATCTCATGGAAATTGTTTTTCCCCTTCTCAAAAGTTTTCTTAAATGAGTTTTAGGGTTATGAAGACTATTTTTAAGTCAGAATACATGTTGACCCACTTCTGTTTTCAAGTGGTTGACCCTAACCCTAACATTTTCAACAGGAGTTTCACATTGTTTGGCAGTACCTTTTTCTATGTTTTTTTCCTTGGTTTGACCTAGGCCTGCTGGAATGTATATGGCTTCTCAACTTTTCTGCCTAACTTTTGTGTCACAATTTGCCACTGTTGCAATTAATTTAACACAAGCACAGAGTGCAAACTTTATAGGTAACATAAAAACATCATAAATAAAGGCAAATTGTTTCCTTCTTTGTCCATAAATTGGTTAAAGGAAGATGTTTGTCCTCATGACACTCTTGTGCTATGTTGTGCTTCACACACAATGATCTTAAACCTCAAAAAAAAAAAGCTGAAAAAATTGATTAGAAAACAGTCTACCTTCACAGCTGCTATATGAATGAACAGCTTCTCCACCAATCAGCATACAATAATGAATAAGAACTCTCAATGACAAAATCTTGAAGGACAAGCTCATTGTACTGCATCTGGAAACATAACACATTTATACAGTCATATACATAAGAATTGATGCACATGTTTATACTACTTAATTTACATGTATAATTTACCCTCATAACCAAAAAATGAGCCTGTACTCCTTCATTCACTTGCACTATTGAAAGGAGGACATTAAAACTGAGCAATCTTGCCACATGAAACCTGTGTTGAGCTTCCACCATAAAAAAAATTTAATTTTGTTTTTTCCTTTTTTTATAAGATTTCAAGTTTTCCTTTATATACTTCAAAAAATTATGTTCCTCCCAGTAGATTCTTACCATCAGAAACAGTCAGATTATAAGTGCACTGTTCAATTGAACAACTGAAAATAGTTGTGTGATTTTGTATCAGATTTTATGCATATTGCATACATCATTTCAGACATGGACAACCAGCATAAGAACAAAACCCACTACCCTTACTTCCATTCTAACATCAGACAGAAATGTAGATTTGATCTGCTGTTATCCATTTAACTCCCAGTGGTGATTGTAAGCATGGTACCCTTACCTGCACTCCCCTCTAAGTTATCTCACTAAAAAGTTGTGGGAACAGACAAGCTTATCTTATTATAACATCACATTTTCATCTGTAATTCATAAGGAAATGTATGGTAGTCATTGATGACAATAACTTATTGGATCTCGGGAGATAAACGGTTAGAAATAGTGGAACGGGTTGACGAGAGCTCAACAGTGATTAACGCAGAACTGCCATTTAGATGTCAGTTAGGCTTGATTCTCCACATCATCATGAGAATTAAATCGGCATCTGCGTGTCAGATTAGAGTGTATTCAGGAGTCTACGGACTGGCTCATCAACAATACATCTGTATCCGTCACTCAGGTTTAGAATCTAATCAGGTGTCGCAACCAGCTGAGGTCTCGTGCACATGAGATACAATTTATCACGAAGATTAAACTCACGGAGCAAGACGGCGTCTATTCGTTTGACTATCTAACTCAAAAGCACTGAATTCATAACGTACGTGTAATTGATACATGCACGAGTTGGTGCACGATTTCTGTATTCCTTGTCGAATGTTGTATCGTCATCCCGGAACATTACGATTGAAAAGATAATTTTGAAAAAGGAGAGAAAATTGAGAGTTTCAACTTTCATTTCCAAAAAGTAGATATAAGGTATATATGCTATAAATGTTCTGTACGTACGAAGACATTTTATATTTAAACCAGAAGATGTTTAAGGAAAGTCATGCGCAATAGCTATAAACAAAAGATTTGAAACATCTGTCAACGAAGACTTAACGTTCACCCGTTAATTACTCACCAATACAACTCATATTTTAAAAATTACATTTACTTTTCCCCTTGATCGATCTCACAAATTGCCTCCGCTAAGGCGAATGAAAAAGAAAAGTTCACCATGTTTTGAAATTGAATAATTTCACCTTGATCCTACCTGGTTCTCTCCTATGATTGAAGCATACAGATAGTCTCCCACAACTTGCTTACATGAGTATGCAAAGCGTTCGAGGACTGGCGTCGACAAAACTTGGATCGGACCGGATCCAGATCACGGACCGGATCACGGATTGGATCATGGATTGGATCACGGACCGGATCGCGGATCAGATCACGGATCATAAATCGGATCTTTTTAAATAAAATTTGAAATTTTGCACGACAAGCCAAAATAAAGTGTGCGTGACATAATGGAGCACAGGCCCCACCAGGTGTTTTTTTTTTTGCCCAAAAACCCTATTTAGTCACTTTCACGGCTTTTTCGAGGAGTGTTGTGCAGTGCCACCGTGGACGAAGGCAAGCGAGAGGTTATTTTTTATTTTTCTTTCGCTCTAGCCGTTTCCTGCGTTGGTCAATAACGCAGTAAAAAATATTGTAACAGTCAAAGCTTTTGAGAAATTGCTTAACTTTTAAATTAGCGAAGCACAATTTGGTGACATTTACAACACGACATTTACAACAGCTCTACAACACGATTGTTTACTGCAACTGTAAATGATCTGCCTCTAAATGAGCTATTAAAGTAGTTTCACCGCTAACCATTTCCATTTCGGACTATTTTTTCCCGGCTCAATGCAGAAGACTAATCACGTGGTCTAAGTCACGATGAAAAATCGTCCTGATACTGCAACGTGCTATATCGAAGGCGTTCGTCGAGGGTCGAACACACAAGTTTATAGTACAGCGGTTAAATTTAAAATAGGTCATGTAAGCTTTAGCGCTTGTTTCCCACGAAAAATTCAAAAAAGAATTGTTCAAGATCGTTCTGAACAAAGGAGCTTTGAGATCCTGCGGCAATTTCTTGATTTTGTTTGAGTATTTTGTGGTTGTCATAAAATAACCACTGAGATATATTTCTTTTTAACAATTTTCATGGGATTTTTACCTGTAAGCTAAATGCGAGTACAATTTTTTTTTCATAACGGGCACATAAAATAGCATTACGCCGTTACTATTTTCTTCCAGTATCGATCATTAGGAGAAGAAGAAATATTACTAAATGCGTGATCGCGTAGTTTATAGCGATTCCCAAAATCCTAGATTCATGAAAACAAGCCATCAAACTATACTTCTCTGTTTTTGTTTACTCACATGTGGCTCACAGATAAAGATATACAAAAACTAGTAAAATGTTTTCAGTATGTTTGAGCTATTTACTAGGTTATCAATGCGCTAATAAGCCTAACAGTAACGTTTGAATTTTAGACGGTAATGTCGTCTCTTAAAAAGTAAATTATGAGAGAGATTCTCCTTGCAGCGTTGAGTCCGTGGAGAGAAGTTCAATGTTTTTTACTTACGTAATACGAAAAATTTGTCAACACTGAAACTTCAGACAATTCGTGAAATAACGAACGAGAATTTCAGGAATTGTACACACCCTACGTTTATGGGGAATTCTGAAGTGAATGGATGTAAATGACCTTCCCGATTTTGTTTCCTCAGTATGCGAAAAGCTCGATGGATTCCTCCACTAAAATACCTAGAAAAATTAAAACAGTTTCGCGGGTTATGCAAAAATCGAATACTACTGGTACGTTTCATTATATTTAAAACTCTGTTTTCAAAAGGAATTCTCACCTTTGTTGGTCCGTGGAGGCAATGCCAAGTTTCATTGCTTACGATGGTAAACGGTTTGCCAAAAAATTGGATTGGTACATTACCACCATTGTGTTCAAAGGAGGGAGACGTTGCAAATGCATGATTTGAAAAAGTATTAAGGTATACTAGATTACGCACTTAGAGTGTTTTCCAAGAGCTTTCTTATATATGAAATACTTTTAAATATTTCAACACTTTTACGCCCGGTGCATTGCGAAAGTTTTTATATAAAATTGCGGCAAAAGATCAAATCTCTACAAGGCCCATACCGAATTGATAAAGGCAAAAAAATCAGCTAAAAATAAAGGACACTGTCCACCATTTTTCGAAAACCTCTTGTGATTTAACTCCTTTGAGTGCAAGGCCTTCTTTACAAAGCATGTGGAACTAATAAGAAGAAACCTCTCTCGCATATCTCGAACTCGTCTCTTTTCCCGTCGAAATAACCCAAGAAGTACTGGTTTTCAACAGAACAATTTTCAAGGTTTTCCTCAAGGAAGTAAATTTATTTAAAGATGAATGATTAGTCGCCGCCATCATTACGCATTCTAGTGTCTTAATTAAAAATTGTCTTCAGTTTTTAGATGTCATCCTTTCGCGGGCTTTCGCAATATTCGCGGGTTTCATAATTTTCTCGCTGACCAAAATTACCGTGTACTCTTACCCTCTACGGACTCCTTCGATATAGCGTCACCCGTTTTTCTTGGTCACTGTCTCAACTTAGCGGCCATTTTGAAAGGACCGCACGTTTTGCTAGCCGAAAAATTGAGGCCATCTCAGGTCGATTCCCGATTTGGTCAGTGTAAAACGCAGACTGCAGACTTCAGACCAGGGGTAAAATGCAGACTGAAGACTGTAGACCAAGGGTAAAACGCAGACTCGGTTCTTTAGTTTTAATAATCCTGTGCACTATATTTCGCGTTGATGAAGGAGTCCGATACATTTCGCCAATTTTTTGCGAGACTGCTCGACCTGACGATTGCATGAAAGGTCCTGATAGAATGCCAGACCAAGAAGTTTGAAATCAGAGACATGTTCAATATTACTTCCATTTGAGTTAACGACTATTGAGGTAGAGGACACGAAGTTCCCTGACATACATTTTCCTCTTACTATCATGGACTTGGTTTTCTGACAATTTATTAATGTTAACCAGAATTTGTTAACGTCACCTAAACGTTTAAGATCTTGGACTGAGAACCTGTATCTAATAGGAAACATTTTCCCAACTAGAAGTTTTCGATAAAGTTGTGTCACCAACATAAACATCTGGTGTCGTTGACAAATAAAAGGGTCTAAAAGGAACTTCTGGGTTTCATGATAGGTGTGCATGGCTGTGTATGGATATTTAAAACTGTGTGGGGCTCCATACCCCTACATTTCCTTATAGGGGTATGAAGGAATGTGTGGGTTTGGAAGAACTTACATGGCGCGCACATAACTCCTATCAGACCACGTCAAACAACTCTGTGATTTTTACACTCTATACTGACTCATTTATAGAAGCACTCCGCTGACTTGAGACACTGCTGTTACCACTTTCCTAATTACTTTTCACTTTTCCATTTCATTGGGAGCACGTCGAACGTATCATGCGTCTTGAGAAGTGCTATTTCTGTTCGTCAACAATTTATCCAGGACATGGAACAGTGTTTGTAAGGAACGACTGTAAAGTAAGCTCTCTTTTTTTAACTTTCTTCTCGACTAATTTGATCGGTGGTCACGCCGGAGGCGATCGATAATTCGCTGCGATACATCGCATGATACAACTCGGCCAGAAATGACCTATTGTGTAACAATACATAGCGTGGAAAAATCTCTCGAAAAGCGTTTCTGTTGTAACATGATTTGCAGTTTGTATGTGCGCAATGATCAAAGCGATAAAAGGAGTCCCGGGGACTTGTTTTGAGCAGGGTTTGGTGGCAGCCCTCACGGACTATTTTTTCAAATTCTATTACACTCCGTCCTTAAAATTTAAGTAATCCATCATTTGTGTTGTGTTGTCATTCTAGCTGTTTAGATTTTGTCGCTCAAAATGCCACAAGAACTTTAAGATGAAGAGAAATCCTCGTAAAATCAAATGGACAAAAGCTTTCAGGAAGGCAGCTGGCAAAGAACTAGCCATGGTAAGAAAAAAATTATAGGCAGCTTTTGACATGTAGTAACTTTATGATATAGATGGCAACACCATGGGAAATATAAAGCGATAAAGTGAATCCTGCGTTCTGATTGGCTCCAGGATTATTCAAGAGTTTTGTTATGCAAAATCTATTTCTTACATAGTAAAGCCTTTATTGACCCAGCTTGTGCAATCATGATGGCTGGATATCAGCTTTGTTCTTTTTTTGCATTTTTTTTACCTCAACGTTGCCTCTATCAATAAAGGAGGGAAAAAAACTCTGCCAATATTCAGCCACCTTGACCTCATGTTTGGTCATTAACCCATCTGTATTGACCTACAAGGTATCAAAATTCTTTGATTTTTCACTTTTCAAACTTGCAATGTTCCTGTGAGTTTAAAGAAACTGCAGTGCCACTTTTGGTCTGTGAGGTAATTTAGGAAAAAACTGACTGACATATTTTTGCTCAAATCTTGTGAAAATCTTGCCTGTTTTTTCTTCAAGCAACATAAATCTGTTACACAAACAAAACTCTTGGGCTTATTCAAGTGAACCTAAGGGTGTGTTTGTTTCACTCAAGGATACAGCAGACCAGTGTTAGAACCAATTTTCTTTAATTTTGTTTCCATAATCAAACCAAGTACTACACTTTCAGGACAAAATGAGAGCACTTTTTTTAAATTTTTATTCTATTGAAATCAGTTTGTACATAAAATAAGCTAACTAAATATGCAAAAAAAATTCAGGTCATGGGCACTTTAAGGGTGAAGAATCAGTCAGAATATGTCAGCCATCATTGCAAACAGGTCCTCATTATTGGTGCTTCAGCTTGAGTGTTTCTTTGCCCATAGGAAGTTATGAGGCCATTTATTGATGTAAAATTCATTTGACATGTCTAATAGTGATGGAAGCTGCTGATTAGTATTGTTGACAAAGTGCAAAGGAGTACAGTCTGTTGGTCTGCCCACAGGCTCTCATTTAAAGCAGTGCAAAATACTAAGTGATTTTCCTGTCTTTTACTTGATACTGAATTTTACTTGTTAGCTGCAAAGTGCTAAAAACACATTACTTTAATGCCACACTTCAGAAACTTTCTTTATGGTCACTCCTGTTGCAAAACGTTGGAAGATGAAGCATTTTATATCCTATCCAGTAGAAATTACTGCAAAAGCATCCCTTCCATCTAAAAAACAATTTACTCCTTTTTCATTCTTTGGCTTTTGAAAGACTAGGTCTTAAGTATTCATTAATAACTTTCAAAAATACTTGGATTACATATCCAGTGTTCAGTAAATTGAAACCATGTTTGTGTTTGATCATCAGTACAAAAAACTGGTTTGTGTCAAACTGATAGGACCTGTCATTTTTTACCAGTTTGAATGCAGTGTTGACAGGGAAACTCAGGGGATGAAAAAGATAGTAGCATCCTTGCAGGTGCTCATAATTAGTGCCAGACCCCAGGCAAACCCCCTAAAGCTATTAAATACGTGTGGGGAATCTCTATTTTGTAGCTGATCTCCTGTTTGTTGAGCAAATTGATTGATCTTTCTTGTCATACAAAGGGTGTGCAGAAGCATTCCAAACAAATAACAACTTTGCTGTCAGGAACTTATTCATAGACATTTATTTTAATCAAGTTAAAAAGCGACAAAAGCATGAAGGACAGTCTTTGTGGCCATCTGAGTTGTTCCTCAGATGGTGAAAGAGAGACTTACAACCATGTGTAAGTTAGAAAATTAAGACAAGATATCATGAAAAACAACACCAAATTGGAAAATGCTTTCAGTGGAGCCAGGGTAATATCCCCATCATGTATAGTGTAAACGTTATAAATCATAGATAAATCATATGATAAATCATAGCTAGTTCATAGATATTAATATTTAAGTGTGATAAAGCTTCTTTTCATTCAAACCATCCACTGACAAATATTAGAGGTGCAGGTACATTTGTTAGGGTGATCCTTCAAAGTACTAATTACTACAGTTTAACTATCATTTACAGACATTTGTTTATTATCTCACGGGAAGAACAAACATTTTTGTGTCAAACAAGATAAAGTTCCACTAAATCTGAATGTAAAAAAACAAGAATTGCCTTCTTAAAATAAGGTAAAATTGTTTTTAAAGAGTTATCCTCTCTGCATGAAAACTAGGCTAGACAGTGGGTAGACAGTGGGTGTTCAATTTGTTTTGCCACAAAATAGTTTTTGAGAATCAAAGAATTGTATGAGAAATCATCTGAGGTTTATCCTTATTGTTTTTGATAGGTTTTGAGAAAAGATGACTTACCATATCTACAATTGTAGAGTTCACTTTTTTTAAGACTGTAAAAGGAGAAATTTTTTAAGTAACAACCTGAGACTTTACTCATACTTTTGTAATATATGATTTAGCCAAGCCTAAAGGAAGAATTCTTGTTAGTTTATTTTCCAGCCCTTCACTATAATAGAAACTATAATAACTCTTCAGCACTAGCTGTCAAAGAGTTTCTTCAAGGAGATTTAGGGACCAGTTCGGGGGTGGGGGTATTCACAGGGTCTGGAACCTAGGGACAATGTTCTCACACCTTGCAGGGCAATCAACACGCAAGCTTGTCAGCGGTGTTTTCAAGCAGCTGAGGACTTTTGTTATTGTTCCTGATGTTTGAGCAAATTTTCATAGTTAGGGAATCTTTTCTTCTTCAGATGCATTGTATGAAGTCAGCATCAGATGAAGTTATATCCTATTGAAATTATGTAATGACACAGTTCCAAACAGAGGTTACCTGGGTATTTGTAAGAAACATCAAGCACTATTGACAGCTTGGGCCAGAGTATTTAATGCAATCTAGATAATATTACACATTCCAATGTGGTAACTTATACAACAAAATTATATAATGACACAATTCCAAACAGAGGAAGTCAGGTTAAAGTCTCACCTGCTTGAACTTTTTAGGGCTTAAGGTACAGAGAAAAAGATATGCTAAACAGTTACAATTAATAGAAGTTGAAAGTTTTAAAGCTAAAAGATACACATTTCAATCATCAAACCTTATGCATCCTAGCAAAAATAGGGTCAGTTACCACCATAACTTCTCCTAAACATTCATGCATACAGGAAATCATTTATTTTTGTCACTAGGTGGTACTGTACTTACAATAATTCTACCATGCACACATGCATTTTTTTCAGTTACCATACTTTCTTGGTTTTAAGGCAAACTTGGTTATAAGACCCACCCCAAACTTAGCAACTTAGTCAAGCCAAGTTCCCTAACTGAAAATTTCATGAAATTACTCAGTTATACGACACACCAAAAGGTTGAGGGTTAACAAAAGGATGTGATAGAACTGAGAACCATTATCCTTACACAATTGGCATGCAAACTCTTTTATTAACATAAATAAAAGTGAAAAAGTCTCACATTTAATGATCTACATAACAACCAAGGCTAAAATTTCACACCTGTAATGAGAAACTTAAAATGCATACTCATTTATTTCAGCCTTCCTGCTTAGGAAACATGCTTCTATTTACAATATTAGATAATAAATATTCAATGATCTGATTTCATTCTATTAAACATCAACTGACTGATTTGAAACTTGGTTGCAAAACTAACTGATACTTTCTCATTGCAAATAGTCTGAGTTAAACTTCAACTTCTTGTTCAGCTGGACCATCCTGTTACATGTGAAAAAATCAAATGTTACTCACATATTCAAACAATTACCTGAATCAAAAGTTATATTTTTTTAATAACCCATTTCTTTTAATTGTGCTCCAGAAAAAGTAAATGGTATTGAAGAGAAAGGAAGAAATTCTGGAAATGTTCTATTTTAAATGAAATTTCATCATGAATGTTAATTGCGACAGCAACAAAAAAGTTGCTTTCCTACCAACTGAACTTAACTATTGTTGCCAACAAATGTGAGAGTCATATAAAATGGGTACAGTTATTAGAGACATCATGTACCAGTTTTGTATATGTAGAGTATTGCTTGAATATATCAATCCAGTAAGTGCAAGTGCCCAGTAAACATCATTCTGTAGTCTTATATTCTTCCACCTTTGAAGGTGCCTAGTATTCATAAAAATTGAAGTTCAATGCAGCTTTTTTGGCTACAAAGATAACAAAGAACAACATCCATACTATACAATATTTCTTAAGACACCTCTACAATGGCAGGTATACACAACTGACATGTATGAGTGAAGCATGTCAAGCATTAAGGTATGGTTGTCAATTTCATCACATTTTTTTCATTACTTGCAAACAGCTTGTTTCTGGTAGCTTTGAAAACTTCTGTATCTCCACTTTAAAGCAAAGGCATTTCCCATTAAAATTTTTACATCAATAAATAATAAGCTACTAGTAACAGGTTTTTCAATTGTAAATGTTTCATAGCTTCCAATTTTCATCATGTATTTTTTTACATTTGAAAGAATAAGTATATTTTAATCATTGTAATATAATTAAATCCTCCATTTTGAGACAATAGTAATAGTCATATGTACGAGAAAGACAGCAAATAAATATAGCATCATACTGTAGTAAAGTGTTCTTGTGTAGAATGAAGTTTCAAACTCACTGAAATTAAGTTGACTTCATGATTCAGATTTTAGTTAAAGAAATGTATAATACCATTTATGAATTTTAAAGAGTAAATGCCAAAAGCTTAAAGATGGAATTTTAAAAAAATGATAAAATGTGTTATATCGATTCACTGAGATTTTAATCAATAGCTGGCACACAGAGGTATAAAAGAGGCTTTGTAAAAAAAAAAAAAAAAAAACCAGGGCAATAAAATTAAAGATTCAGGAGAAGCATAATTTTTATAACATTAACTAGTTTACTGATCTGCTTACCTGAATTCAATCTGGAAAGAGATCTCTGCTACACTTATGTTTTATCCTCTCCCACTTAAATTAAAACAAAATTTAATTAGTTGCAGGCAGGCTAGGGAGGAAATCAAAGGAATGGATATATGGGACATAAAAAGAAACATTTTAAAAGTTGATAAAGCAGAAGCATATAACCTAGATGTCTGTGCTTCTGAATACAGCTATAATAGGAATTTTTAATGCTATTATCTTCATATGTAAACTGGGTGCAATATTCAGTCATAAAAGCAATTTTATCCTAACCTTGTCCCCTGAAGGGTGCCTTGTGTATCAAATATATCAAGTTCAGTACCTCCAGAGTCATTAGCAGCTTCTGGGACTACAAAATAATGAATTAATCAACAAGTTATGCCAGGCCAAATTATTGAGAGTCAACATTAAAAAATTATAGCTTCCTAGAATTGTATGGAAAGTTTAAAGTGTGCTTCACCTGTGCTGTATATATGAATTCATTTTTCCTAATTACTAATGAAATTTTGAGGGGCAACTCAATTAATTCAAAAGAAAATATCCAGGCAGGTTACCCCGTTTCAATACACAATCACAGCTCGAACACTTCTTGATTGATTCCTCAGTTTCCAGCATCAGAAAAATTTTTCATATTGCAAGCATGTTCATTATAACCTGAGTATTAAGTACGTAAAGAGAGAGTGGCTCCATGTTTTGTGAGACAATCTGAAGTTTGAACAAATCAAGTAGAGGGCATGAAAACATAGCCCTGAAAATTACCATGAACAAACAATGACATTCTCTCCTTCTGCAGTAGGACTAACCCCTTGAGATGATAGGCAAATGTTTGTAAGAGAAAGTACACCTCTAGTAATTAGTACTTCCCTATAAGGTTTTCTGTAAATTTAGAGTCACATGACCAGTCACATTACATGATTCATGGTTTTATAGAGTTAGCAAACTTCCTGTTATGAAACTGACTTCACACAAGAACTTAGTCACAAAAAACAAAGTAAAAAAGGCAGGAACTCCTTCTTAATATAATACATTATTAATAACCTAGGCGAGGCTGCCCTATTTTTTTAGCTCTCAAAGGTCATTATGGGCAGCCTGAACTCTCTCCATTTTTCATCTTTATTTATTTATTATTTTTGTATCGTGTAAATTAATATGGGGTACAAATGAAGTTATTTTTGTTTAATCAAAATCTACTATCAAACCTTTTCTAAATTCTTTTGAGCTATGTCCCGTATATCAGGGACCTGATGCTGAAGGCATTTATGCATCATAATGGCAATGTTTGAAAGCACTCTGACCTTGATGCAAAGCCATTGAAGTCCTGTGCTATTTACACTATGAACAGTGCAGAACCTCGTATAGAGTATCATGGAACCCCAAAATTTCTCAAAGTTTCTCATGCAGGCGCTCACACTGAATGCTTTCAAATGCCTTTGTCACATCAAACAACACGATGAATTTCTCCTGTATTTGTTCTATTTAATGTCATCTGCAATGTGAAAAATCGGGGAGCCTTTTTCTGAGCTGTCTTTGCAGGCTTCTCAAAAATGGAAAATTAAAACGAGTCTAATATTATTTGTAAAGTATCACTGATTGAGAGGTGAACTTGTTTGAAACAGAAATGCTTGGTTAATGTTGTAGGTCGAATCATGATAAGCTAATAGAGTTATCATGAGTCATCTATTAACAATTAAGAAGTGGGGAGAAACACTCGAGTACGTCTCGTGTTTTTCCCCACACTTCTTTCGTGCTCTTGCCGCTTCCTCGTACTTTACAACAGAACAGAGCACAGTCAAGGCTTCTCTTTTTGATAACCAACAGGTGGAAAGTAGGGATAAGAGTGTGCTTGCAATATAAACTCGTGTCAAATAATTTTTCTTTACAGGATAGTGCATTCGATTTTGAGAAGAAAAGAAACGTTCCTGTGAAATATAACCGTGAGCTTTGGTCAAACACAGGTATGTAAAATAAATATCAACTGTAACTGAGTGTCGGGAATGTGCATAAGGGGTTGGTGGAGCCAAGAATTCCGACCAAGTACCCTTTAAGTGGCATCCAGCTCTGAGGTGATGATTCAAAGTATGTCACTTAAAAGCATCGCGTAAGTTTTTTAAGTGTGATAGTTTGTAACTTTCGAACTTTCGTCGGCCGCTTCATTCCGTCGATTTGGCTGAAATTTGGCATGAAGTCTTACTCTAAGGTCCTAATCACGAAATGGATATTAAAAAGTTCCATTTATTTTTGCTTGCCAAAAAAACGGAAAAGTGCACTTGGTCTGCCCATACTTGCCCGCCAATATGGCGGATCGAAGGTGATCTTTTGAATTCAACTCGAGTCCTATCGTAAAGATTTCTCAAAATCTCGTGATATCCGTGAAACGATGTTCCCTTCCCTTAACATATATTTAAAAAAACATGGCAAATGTCTAGTTTTAACAATTTTCAGAGGTAACATTGGAGATATCAGGCTAACAAGTTGGTGTAAATTTTTTACAGTTCGAGGCGGCGCAAAACGACCTTCGAACGTTGAGATAACCTGTCATCAAAATCTTTCATTCCTACATTTTTTCCAACAAATGTTAAGAAAAAGGTTAGATTTTTAAATTTGTTTCAAGAGATTCTAGGAAATCTATGCGACAGGACTGGAGTCGAAGTCATAAAAACACCTTCGATACGCCAAGTTGGCGGGCAAGTATAGGCGGACATGGTCGATTTTTTGCCAAGCAAAAACAACTGGAACTTTTTCATACCCATTTCGTGGTTAGGACCCTAAAATTAGCCTTCATGCCAAATTTCAGCCAAATCGGTAAGGTTAAGTGGCCGCAATTTTTTTAAAAAGTTCGAAAGTTACAGACTATTACTCTTAAATCTTTTCAAATTTTGATTCAGTGAGAGACTCCACATGTATCTGTATTTATTTAGTGAGAGCCATAAAGCGAATAGAAGAAATCAGAAACAAGAGGCAAGATCTTCATATCGTAAACAGGTTTGTTCTAATGAAGTGTTTTAAGTGACAGTAAGAGTGTTTGCATCACAGATGAAGTTCTTATGAAAATTACTAACGTTTTTTAGATCTTTCAAACAAGAAAGTTTGCTGAATGAAGTTAGTGTCACATGGGTTCCTTTTTGTTGGAAGAGTGAACTTCGAAGCATCATAAGTACTGTAACGTGACACAATTAAAAGGTACACCATTAGCCACTCCTCTGAAGACCTGAAAAGTTTTCCCTACTGTGGTGCTTTTGGTGGAATTTCGCTTTGAATATTTTTATGTTACTCGAACTGTTTTCATCAACTTCCACTTACCGTGTAGCGCGAAAATCTTGCTTATTGGAGATTTCTTGTGTTCTTTTTGAACAAATTTGCAGTTCCAGATAACACAATTGACTGGCTTTTGTTGGTCAACGATCTTGACAACGTTTACAAAAATGTTCACTAATCATGTTTTCAGACAGTGCAAAGAGTGCGATTCAATTTAGTGATAGCACTCAAGGTGAGAAAGATGCAGTCAACTTTGAGAGGGACGTGTGTAGTCCCGTCGATTATACAACGGCTGGCTCTACTTTTTGTGCTATGTACCAAAGAAGTTAGTTAGAAATGTAGTTAGTTTGATCTAAAATTAGAGATGTAGGTATAGATTTAGAGATATAGAAATAGAAATAGATAAGTGAACTAATTTAAGTATAGCATTAATCAACACAAACATAGACAGCAGTTCTTTTTCATTAAGCTGCTTTACTTGTTTGTTTTGACCATCTACTTACGTATTGGTATTTTATAAGGCTGAAACCTGATAAGAAAGTCACAGAAGAGGCTGAGATAAAGGAAATAAAGCAAGGAATCACCCTGATTGGCCCACCAGGTCAGAAATGTTATTCCTTTCTCATTCACTGCATGGAAATACAAATACGTCACATAATTTTTAGAAATTTTAGAATTTTTAGACGAAAATCTACACGAGATTAGCGTAGTGCTGAATTTCTCTCCCGCTTAATGAAGTCTTCATGGGAAAAATTAAAATAAACACTGGAACACTGGTGCCCACAATCCTCAGACGCTAATGAAAAAACGTAACGGAAACCAAGTGAAGTGTAACTGTGTTTGTCGTCGTTTTAAGTACGTAGGATGATTACCTTTTTTTTTTTCTATAGTTGAAAAGAGGAAACTTGAACGGAAGATCTCACAAGTTATGCGAGAACCTGAAAGTATGGAAACTGAGGGTTAAACGGAAACATCTATTGTAACTGCTTTAATTGGTTGGAAGAATTAAAGTATTTAACCAATCTTGGCCGTCGAAAGTTGATAGAGTAATTTTGGCCGTGCTCGACAAACTTGCTTCACTACAAAGAGCACTTTGCAAACGCGCGTAAGATTGTCATCTTCTGTCTTGACTTTCTTAAAAAGACTAGGTAAGCAAGCACCTTTTCTATTGTGGGAATAGTTCATTCACAATTCCGCTATTATAAACTGTTATAGAAAGCCAAAGATCCAGATTCTTGTTTAATGCCCAAGTTTTGGGTCTTCAACGTGTTTGGAAGTCAATCTTTTGTGAATCAAGCTAATCTGGGAGAACAGCATCTCTCAGTCTGTTTTGTTCGAACTTCCCAGTGCTCGGTCCGTTCTGTAGAAACCTCAAGCCGATATTTAATGACAGACAGACCTTTTTCTCTAACATTCGAGGAACGCCCAAAAGTACGTCGAGATCGCGACACAGTGTATCGTTGGAGGTTTTAGGGGCGCACGAATACCCATGAAAGAAGCCCATCGTATTTGAGTGGAATGCTTATGAAAGAAAAAACATACACAAAAATTATTGTCAGTTCAAAGTCACCGATAAAATTTCTTCCTAACAAACTTCAACCGTCAAAAGTTCTAAAGTGCAACCGTCAACCGTCAAAATCGGTAAAAAAGTAACCGTTAGCGATCACAGCTCGCCCCCCCCCCCCTTGAGAACCTCATCAAAGAGCTATCCAGTAATTTACCTTCTATTTTCTACAAATATCCAGACAGTTTGAGAGAGGTTCGAGACACGAACGCGCAATAATGATTATCCTTCACATAAGTCAAGAACTAGTTTTTCAACGCTTAAAATACGACAGAGCACGTATCCTTTCCATCTAATTGTAAGAAATACAACATTTTATGCCAGTCTCTCCTGCCTAAAGCATGACTGTCCATGGTGATGGTTACCTTGTCTAATAAACTAATGAACATCTGCAACATTGGTTCATTGCAAAGGGTTGGCTTGTTAATGCTGAATTTGGTAAAAAGGGCCTATTAATTTGTTACTGAAATTTCAACTATTAGCGACGTTCGTTGGTGTTGCTTCTATGGAATGGAAATTGATTCATCCTGGTTTTCTTCAGCTGACGTAAATATGGTGAGCAACTAAAAACGAACATACAGCGGTTTACGCGGGTTGTGTGAAAACACGTGCTGTACGTAGTGGCATATTAAGGGTAGAGAAAGGTGTAAGTGCCCCACCTGCATCCGTAGCGTAGATTAGTTTCTTGAAATATAAAAAATAAAAACTTTGAAGCGTTAGCAACAGGAATGTGATTTCTAAATTAGAAGTAACTTAAAGTTGCGTGCAACTTTGTGATCTGCATTATATAAACTGCGCCAGTAGTGTCGAATGCAAGTCCAACATTCTCCTTGTAGTGGTGCAATGACAAAAAACGCCTAAATTGACGTCAATGACAAGGTCCCTCTAGGAGACGTTTAACGGCATCTCCCGTATGTCTGTGATCATTTAAGTGGTCAAGAAAAATCGATATTTAATAGAGCACGTCATCGCCTGTTTTCCGTCTTCTCCTGGGGCAGTAAAAACAGCCACAGCGTGTTGCAATTGATGTAAGTTTCTCATTACTCATTAACTCTGCTGGATACCATGCTTGAGTGATATGGTTACGCATAGTAATATTCCGGTTTCTAATCAAGAGACACCAATTCGTGTATGTTTCCTAAATCAGACTGAACACTCGCTCCTTTTTCCGCAAAGTATCACTTTCTTTTGGTTAATCTGCGGTGAAGCTTTGCTGATCTTATTAAAGTTTGCTAATTTTATCCGAGTTAACAATCACCATTGCTTTGAGTAGTCGTGAGGTTTGATTCACAAATGTGAATTTCATTTCAGAGGCGTCTCTGGTTCATCTTTGTGCTGGACTACGTGAGATTTGTAAGAAGGAACGAAACATGCATATTCCAAAGTGCAGCTGGCAAAATTACATTTGAAGACAAAGAAAATAATACCTTGGCACCTGTTTTACAATTTCTAATTTTCGGGCGGAGCTGCATTACTGGCCTATTTTCCTAACAATGGTAACGAAATGCTTTATGTCTTCGACTCTCGAAGATAACGTTATCGAACACCTTCATTGGGACGATTAAAATGTGCCAAATAAACCAGACAGTTTTCTTTTATTTTTATGATGTGCAACAAAGGCAGGTCACTTCAATGCAAACAATAGTCAATATCGACAACTGTCAAAATGGAACTATCCAAAACTGTGGTAATGGACTTTGATTCTTAAACACGAATTCATTTTCTACATTCAAATGATAATCGCAAGAAAGATGAATACTTTTGAAAGAATAGCGATAATTGTGCGTAAACACCCTCGTCATTCTTTCCAACTAAAGTAAATTTAGATTAACCGTTTTTGTTGTTCACAGCTTTTGTTTCTTTCAGAAAACGAACTTAAGAAACACCTAGCCAGAAGAAACAGAATCACTGGCTACCTCACCTTCTCCTCAGGAGAGTCAGTAAAGCACTTCTATCCAATATACCTCCACCTTCCAATGCTATTATCATTGGATTCCATTTTCTTCGGCCTTCGTTTATTTCATTTGACAAACTTCTACGTGTCTTTATTGTGTCAGAGTATAATGAAGAAAAACACCGAAGCGTTTCAAATATTGACCCCTGTGGTCAGATTAATCCATTAAACTACTTCAAACAATTAAACTACTGCTGGCAAAGCACTAAAAACGTCGCTTTTGAAATTTCTACCAACCTGAATGGATTTATGAGTGAACGGCAAAAGAAATGAAGACGTTATTTTGGTAAAGAGCAGTAATTCCATATCGCCGAGGAGTGAACACGAGCGTGCTGTTTCAATTGTTCGATGAACTTTTCAGCGTGAAATACGTTCTTAATGTAAACTAGTTGTGGTCTGTAATAAGTCAGTTCTTGTGTTAGTCAACTATTATGCACAATCATTTTTGTCCTTAGTTTGTTGCCAATTGGAAAGTTAGTATTAACGCGTTTTAAAAGGATCCCCAAGATTATCCAGAAAGCTACGTGAAATATTGGAATTGAATTATAAGTTTCCCGATCGGGGAGCTCTTTGTCCTCATGACGTCCTACTTGCTCCGGGTAGAGCCGTCAGCTGTCAGAGAACACAAAATCAGATAACAAATAATATTTTGGTAAAACAGCAAAACTTCGTAATAATCAAGTTATTGTCAAGTGCCATTGCCAAAGATGCTAATAAACGCCATTCAATTGCACACAATAGGTGTTGTTCTTAGTTGTTCAATGCAGGCTTCCACTCTACATGAGCATTTGTTACACACTCACAATTAAAAAGAAATTGCCCCTGGGTTTTTTTTAACGAATACAATCACTCTAGGTAGAGAGAAGTTATTTTGCCCGCGAAAGCAGCAAGCAGTTTGCACATGTCTGCAGGAGGTAGAGAACGTGAGTAAAATTTCAAGCTAATTTCAGGCTATACTTATTTCCTGAGTAAGTTATTTCTAAAGCGAGCTTAATTAAAGCTCAATTACCTTCTAAAGCTTTGTGGAAAAGTGTCAGCAAAGGTAAGCCAAGGTCATTGTTATTCTATTATCAAGTAGATGTTCGCGTACAAAACACCGCGTTATATGTGTGATTTAGCCAAGCGCCATTTGCACCTGTGCGAAAGTTGTTCATCATTGTTCATACACATGCTTTCCTTTTTTTCCAGAGTTCGTGAGAGAATCTTTGAATTGAGACCTATAGCCTCATTCTCTACGAGCAGGACCTGTCACTTCACCTGGGAGGAAAGGAGAGAAGCAGTTTAAGAAGTAAACTGACGACCAATTCAAGAAGCATAGCCGCTACGCGTCGCAATGGATAATTTTAAAAGACAACCTCAGAAACGCCCTCTGCAACCTGAAGATTCAGTGCCATCAGAAACTGATCAAGGACCACTAGCGGCCAGAAAGCAAGAATCTGGTGATGGCAGCAGATCAGGAAGCAATTCGGAATGCGATAACAATAACCGCAACCCACACCGTGATGACCTTCAGAGTGAATCAAACACGGATAACAAGAAAACGCGCACCCACCGCAAATCCCGACGAAGACCTCCTTACTCTTACATTGCACTAATTGCAATGGCGATCCAAAACTCTTCTGAGAAGAGATTGACTCTGGATGGTATATGCAAGTTCATCAGAGACAGGTTTCCTTTTTATCGTGATACCTACCCATCGTGGAAAATTTGTATCCGCAATAACCTTTCTCTCAACGATTGCTTCATCAAGACTGGAATAAAATCTGATGAGCCACTTAAAGGAAACTACTGGACACTGGATCCAGAGAGTTATAATATGTTTGAAAATGGTAGTTTTCTTCGAAGGAAAACCAGGTTTAAAAGACAAGATCCCAACAGAATCGAAGCGAAGTCTATCCCTGTTGTGGAAACGGGAAGGCACGCTTTCTCTTCTCCCTTAGATCTCCACAATAGATTTGGTACATCTTCCTTAGTGCCGCAATTAAGTTTTTCAAGTCTTGAACCACACAAAATGCCAGGGATTACTCCTTTTGGATTCCCCTTCCAGTATTATAGTCCTCCGACCTCGACAGATTCATTGTTTGTTCACTCACAGTTACCATTTCTGCCTTATTACCAAAATCTTAACTGCACACAGTGCAACCTTTGTGAGGGCTCCAAGCAATTTCATCCTTATTTGAGACTTTAGTAAAGGTAGAGAGAAGAGACAAAGTGGAAATCAAGCTGATAATCGGACGAATAACTGAAGAAAGAAAGATGACGAACTTATGAGGAAGAAGAATCCTTGAATGTTCAGGTTGTCTATACGACTCAAACATGTCATCCAAAGTGAAATATATATCCTGTACAAAGCTAGGTTACAAATTTATGTATTTTGAAAAAACTTTGCAAAGTAGGAAAGGTCGAGTAAGCTTCTATCAAGCCCCAGATCAAATTTGAGGAAAGGACAACTTAATTATATCGAACAAGGCTATTCTTGTTACGGAAAACAAGATAACAATTTT